TCTCATACCATATAAAATAGTTTTTCCATTTAAAATAATAAGGCATTTATTAGAACAAATTTTAATATCTAAGCCTTTGTCATTCAATTGATTAATAATGTCCAAGTTATGTTTCAAATTCACAACTAACTAACTATTTTCAGAAGAAAAATCACAAGTTTTGCTAATTATATATGTACGCACTATCTTCCTAATATAATTATATCCTAAGGTGACTTTACCTCCACCTCTAGCCACCAGCATAATGAGCAATTTCAAATCTCCTATCATATGTCTTGAGCAGACACTAGACTTCTTATGAGAGCATTCCTACAAAACAATCACATCTTAGGTTTAGTAACCTAAGTGGATTTGGGTCCTGTCTTATGCTTGAACGTATGAATGAAATGATGTGATGCTAATTCTTTTGGCATCCAAATAAAATGTATTCTATGGTGTAGTGTGCATGTGTAAGTAATATGTCCTAAAATGCCACACAAATAACATATAACCCATGGAAATGGGTTTACTAGTCTAAATGGGGGATATTCTCTCTTCCTATGGATGTATTATGCATGCTGCTTCCTAGGTTGTGGTTTTATGTATGCATAGGCCTAGGTGCATTATCTTGTAGTGCACTTATTTTATTTTTAAAATGTTTGTTTTCACTTTTTATTTTTAAAATGCTTGTTTTCACTTTTATATAAACTAACTTTCACTTTTAATTCATGTATATACTTTCTTGTTATAATGCAAGTTCTTCTAACTCATTTTTTTCAATATTCAAGGATTCATGTGACTTTGTATTCAACATTCAAGGATTCATGTGACTTTGTAATTCAACATGTTGTTTATTTAATAAATCAAACTCTTCCATTAATGATTCATTATCCTTAAGTAATATAGTACGGTCAATTTTAAAACTTGAATGATCTTTGTTTAAAATTTATTGTTGTTCCTTTAAATTTGAAAATTCTTTATTCAAGTGTTAGGCATACTTTTAAACTTTTATAGGAGTAATTTATTTGTTAAGATATAGAAAATAAATCATCATATTATGTCTCGTATACCTCATCCTGATCCGAGTTCACAATACCATCTTTTTCCACTAAATAAAGGTGGGTTACCTCCTCTTCCAATTTTGTTTCTACGAAATCTCACTCTGAGTTCACTCGGAATGTCATTTATAGCTTCTTCTTGCCCCTCCTTAAGTTTGAACTATACTCAACCTTTTGCTAAGAAGGTTGGATTTTTATGTTGGGGCAATCTGATCTCATCTATTCAGGCTTCCTACACTCAAAAAAAAAAAAAGACAGAAGAAAACCTATTGAACTTACCAATTTTATATTTTCTTTAGTCGAAGTGGCACTTGTGTTTGTATTTCATGAAGCTCTTAAATTAGTATGTTATTAATGTAATGTCCTCGCTCCCATCAACTAGTGAATTACTCTCGATGTCATCAACCTTAAATATCAATATCCTTTCTTTCTTTCAATCACTTGCATCTGAAAGCCTTTGGCTCACATTTTGCTTGTAAGTAATAAAAGAGCCTAAAAGATTATCAATAGAGTATACATTATGATATTTTGATTTAAATATAGTTGTGACTTTAGCATCATAATAATTAGATAATGTTATATTTTGTTAAATTTTTCAGAGTTAAAAATCTCCCTACCCATGAATTGCAAAGAGGTGATTATCTTGGTGAACCTAGTATACATATTAAATATTAACTCACTAGGTTTCATGCAAAAGAGTTCATACTTATGTACTAACAAATTAAATTGTGACTATTTGACCTCACTAGTGCCTTTGTATGTGATACATAATCTATCTCTTGTCTCTTTTTCACTGATGTCAGTAGATACATGCATATAGTCTTTTGATTTCATGCACAAAAAAAATAGTTTAAACATTTTGCATTCATTTGTGCTAAACCCCTATCTTTTATAGACCATTTAAAGGGAATTTTTATTTACACACCATTATTAATATGAGAAAGTAAGGTATATCCAACATGAATCATATGCCACATGTGAAAATCAATAAATTGCCAAAATATAGACATGCGTATTTACCAAAAATTAAATAGCACATTGTCAAACAAAGATGAGCAGGTAATAGAAAACCCTTAAGCATTATTACGATATCCAAAATGTGCCATGGTAGTAAACTCTAGGTGTTAAAACTACAATATAAGAGAACATGCTAAGATGCCAATAGAAAGTTCAATATTGCATATGAAATTAATTGAATGTGAAAATGGCACACCAAGAGATAGGGGTGAATTAGTGATTAAAATTTTCTTCAAAAACCTTTTGAATTAAAAAATCAAATTCCCATTTTATCAGAAACATTTGAATAAATGAAATAGATCAACTCACCACAGAACTCTAAATAAGATTTTTTTTTTTGAATTTTATAGAATTTTTTTATTTTTCTTTTTCTTTTTCTTTTTCATTTAATTTTTTGTTTTGTAACATAAACATGAACCACTATCAACCACAACAAATTTCTTTAATTGATATAACCACAATCAACCTATTGTGCTAAAAATAAAATTCTAGTGAAGTAAAATATAGAAAGTAAATGCAAAAAATAAAGAAAACCAAATTAGTTTTTATAGTGGTTTGGTAAACATGTCCTAAGTCCACTCCTTGATGGTCCTCTCTTCAAGAATTGCACTAATACATTTATTCTTTTTCAACCCATCGATAGGTACAGAATCCCTTTCCCCCTTTCCATAGGTGTAGAATGCACCTTTTCAACCTCTTCACACCTGAAGAATCCCACCTTCCACCTCCTTAGTTCGACAGAGCTGTCATGTCCTTCTTTCACCTCCTCAGTCCAATGGAGTCACCAAGTGTGTGACTTTAGCATCATAAGAAATAGATAATGTTATATTTTGTTAAATTTTTCAGAGTTAAAAATCTCCCTACCCATGACTTGCAAAGAGGTGATTATCTTGGTGAACCTAGTATACATATTAAATATTAACTCACTAGGTTTCATGCAAAAGAGTTCATACTTATGTACTAACAAATTAAATTGTGACTATTTGACCTCACTAGTGCCTTTGTATGTGATACATAATCTATCTCTTGTCTCTTTTTCACTGATGTCAGTAGATACATGCATATAGTCTTTTGATTTCATGCACAAAAAAAATAGTTTAAACATTTTGCATTCATTTGTGCTAAACCCCTATCTTTTATAGACCATTTAAAGGGAATTTTTATTTACACACCATTATTAATATGAGAAAGTAAGGTATATCCAACATGAATCATATGCCACATGTGAAAATCAATAAATTGCCAAAATATAGACATGCGTATTTACCAAAAATTAAATAGCACATTGTCAAACAAAGATGAGCAGGTAATAGAACCCTTAAGCATTATTATGATATCCAAAATGTGCCATGGTAGTAAACTCTAGGTGTTAAAACTACAATATAAGAGAACGTGCTAAGATACCAATAGAAAGTTCAATATTGCATATGAAATTAATTGAATGTGAAAATGGCACACCAAGAGATAGGGGTGAATTAGTGATTAAAATTTTCTTCAAAAACCTTTTGAATTAAAAAATCAAATTCCCATTTTATCAGAAACATTTGAATAAATGAAATAGATCAACTCACCATAGAACTCTAAATAAGATTTTTTTTTTTGAATTTTATAGAATTTTTTTATTTTTCTTTTTCTTTTTCTTTTTCATTTAATTTTTTGTTTTGTAACATAAACATGAACCACTATCAACCACAACAAATTTCTTTAATTGATATAACCACAATCAACCTATTGTGCTAAAAATAAAATTCTAGTGAAGTAAAATATAGAAAGTAAATGCAAAAAATAAAGAAAACCAAATTAGTTTTTATAGTGGTTTGATAAACATGTCCTAAGTCCACTCCTTGATGGTCCTCTTCAAGAATTGCACTAATACATTTATTCTTTTTCAACCCATCGATAGGTAGAGAATCCCTTTCCCCCTTTCCATAGGTGTAGAATGCACCTTTTCAAACTCTTCACACCTGAAGAATCCCTCCTTCCACCTCCTTAGTTCAACAGAGCTGTCATGTCCTTCTTTCACCTCCTCAGTCCAATGGAGTCACCAAGAGTTCCTTTCACTTCCTTAGTCTGGTGGAGTTGTCATGCCCTCCTTTCAATTACTTGGTTTGGCAGCATCACCAAGTCATCCTTTCACTTCTTTGTTCAGACAGAGTCATCAAAGATCTTTGGCCTTTGATAGGGGGCTTATCTTGAGCTCCTTTGAGACTCACTGAGTTTAAACTATGCTTAGATTTTTTTGATAGAAAATTTAACAATCCACTGAATTACACAAGTATCCATGCTAAATAAGTATTAAAGTGAAAGTGAATAGTCTTGAACCTACGAGGAACTGTTCTGCTAAATTGTAATTTAACTATTACTATTTATTTCAAATGCATCACTTATCTTACTAAAAATAAAAACGATGTTTCTTGTTTTTATAACTAAAAGTGAATAAAGTCTTGAAAAAAATATTTTTGATATTTAGAAGAATATTTATGAGAATAAAATGTTTTGTACTAATGAATATAAATAACATAATTTTCCTAATGTGACTCTTCATTATAGATGTGGATCAGACCATATGCATCCTTAAATATTTGTCAGGCTTGTAGGGGTGGAAGAAATGTTTAAGGTATTCCTATGGATTTACTATCTCCATAAAGGCTAAAATATTCAGACATTCTATATCTAGGTATGCCAATCTTCCATTTCAAAATTCCTAATTGTTCTAGCATTCTTCCATCAAGAATATACATCACACTATATTTAACTACCCAAACGATTATTGTATGCATTCAATGAAGAGATATTGAAAACATCAATATAGTCATTAAAGCACAAGAGTCTACATTAGTACATACTATGCTTTCTACATCATTAGCCCCAAACTAGAGAATTAGTTATACTTTGAGGAAATAACAAGCAAACTCATCTTCATTGTATTCATTAATAGAAAAGATATAAGAGAAGTAAAAAAGAAAATTGTCACCCAGAAGGATCAAACGATTTTCTCCACCCTCCTTTTATCAATCATAGAGTTACTTACATGAATAGGCTAAGATCTCCAATAGGAAAGTATCTTACACTTCTCTAGCCTCCCTTACACTTTACTCTAAGGGGAACTAAAGAAACACACTAAAAATTATAAGAATTCACTCAAGTGATAAAACACCCAAAATAACAGAACTAAAAAACTATTTCTAATTAGTACAAGGTCTAGTTTAAGAAATGCAGCGCTCGATATGGTGGCATCATGATTATAAAAAAAAACTAACACCTTAACATTGTAAAGTCTTCTCCACTTTGATGTTAGCTAATGGCACAGTCACTAATAAAAATTGTGTATCTTTTTTACTGAATCGGTACATTTTTTTGACTAAATCAGCACAGCTCCATATGTTGGTAATTGCTCCTCCATGGTGCTCCATAATTTTGAGCACTGTGGTGCTCAAATTAGGAATCCGATGCTGAGGCATAGAAAGGCATGGCATTGTGGCACTCATTTTCCTGAGACAACTGGAACTGTAGTGCTGAATTTTAGTGCATCAGTGCTGCGTAATGCTACAGAACTGATAATGGTACAATTGTGGTGCTTGTAAACAGACAAGAGTGTCACAACAATGTTTGTAATGGGTGCCTCGACGTTATTTAACTTGGCTTTAAGGTATTATATGAGCTACCATCATGGCACTATTTAACATTTTTTTATTATTTCATATACAAATAAAACTAAAATAATACATTTCACTAAAATTTGAATATAATAAATAATACATAATTTACACTTAATAAATTTTCCTAGCTTAAACTCTTGATTATCCTAAAGCAAAAATAACTTTCACCCATAATCACTTAATAACCAAAGTAAAAAAATTAATAATTTAAAATTACTAAAATATAGGATAATAAAATAAAGTTTAAAATTAATTTGGAATGAATAAATTTATAATTTTAATTTCAAAAGGTCATAATAATAATCTGAATCAGTCAACCTTGCTTTAGCTTATTTTGAATATATTCACTATGTTTGTATAAAATTGACTTTTTATATAAAAATAAAAAGTATAACCTAGGAACTAGTGGTGTTTATAGTTAAATAAAAATTTTATTCGTGCACCATGACAGGTACTAGTTCACTTATTTATATCTTTTTTTATTTAAGTGGGAAGCATTTGAATTTAAGCTACAACTAATAATAATTTTTAATGTACTCATTTTTTTTTTCTTTTTGTAATATTTCATCTTAAGTTTTTCTCATTTATGTTTTCTTTACTATTTGTGAAGTACATACTTAAAGATTTGAATATCAATTTTTGCTTTCAATTCTTTGCAATCCTATTAAATTAATGTAAGGATTTAATACAACAACAACAACATCATCATCATCAAGCCTTTATCCCACTACGTGGGGTCGGCTACATGAATCCTTTTTCTCCATTGTGTCCTATTAAAAGTCAAATTCTCATTTAAATCTAATAAAGAAAGGTCATTCCTAATATTTTCTAACCAAGTCTTTTTATTTTATGCCCCTTTATCTTAAAGTCCAAAACTAATAATCGATGTTGGGTACATAAAGTTTCACTCGGAATAACTTTACAATCTTTGCAATCTAAATGATTTAATTTTTTAATAAGAAAATAATCAATCTGGGTTGTACTATATCCATTTTTATAAGTGATGAGATGCTCATTCCTTTTCTTAAATAAGGTATTAGCAATTGAAAAATCATAAGCTAAACAAAAATCCAATATGGTCTTGCCACCTTCATTCGTCATTCCAAATCCATGGCCACCATGAATGCTTTTAAAATCATCTACCTCTCTACCAACATGTCCATTTAAATCTCCTTCCATAAAAACTCTTTCTTCAAGATGTATCTTTGGTATTAATTCTCCTAAGTCATTCCAAATATTTAATTGAGAACTCATATCCAAACCTACTTGAGGAGCATAAGCACTTATAAAATTAATAATCTTATCATCAACAACAATCTTTAAAGTTATAATTCTATCTCCAATCCTATTAATATTTATAACATTATGCTTTAAACTCTTATCTATAATAACACCTACACCATTTCTAGTACGACTCCTACCCGAATACCAAAGTTTAAATCCTAAACTAAAAATTTACTTAGCCTTCTCTCCAACCCATTTAGTTTCCTAAATGCACAAAATATTTAACTTCCTATTAATCATAATATTTATTAATTCCATTAATTTTCCTATAAGGGAACCTATATTCCAAGTTCCTATCCTAATTTTAGTTTTATGGACTAGCTTCTTTGCCCACATCCGTCATTGATGTGGGAACCCTTGCTTATTTAACACTGCACAAGGGCGTCGGTGCAGCGGCCCTTGCACACTTGTCACTATATTCAGGCCATACAACGCGTCGCTTCCAGAGGACGCCCTAGCATTAATACAATTTCTTAAAGGATTCATGTCATAATTATTTGACAATTGTTACATGGGCTGTCGACTACCTAATGCAACCCTCCACTTTTCTCATCCAGGACATAGGACATAAGGATTTAATAAGATCACTAATTCTAATTTCAATTTTATTTAGATCCTCCTAATTTAAGCTATTTACAACTAACCCTTAAACTAAATTATTCATTTTTTAGTTCAATTGTCAATGAGTTATTGTATAGTTTCTAAATTCAAAATAAAGTCCATAGCTTAAATGATCTAGATTAGTTAATTGTTAAGTTTTTGAACTTCGAATTATTATGCAATGTTATTGCAAATTATCAGCTAGAATTTTAAATTATCCTAATTTTATATAATTTTTAATAATAATTTGTATTTTGACAAAGTAATCAAAGTGCAAATAATTTTAGAGGACAATTTACAACAATTTAAGCATAAAGAATTTAGTCAAATAAAAATAAAATAACACCTTACAAAATAAAAAAAGCATAAATTGATGAGAGATACACATGCTTTTTTAAAAAAGATAAAAAGGCACAAAACATGTGATACATTCAACAAAATAACTAATGAAGATAACCAGTGACTAGAGCACCACATGTAATGACATCAAAGATGGCACTAACATCCACCCTAACATTATAGAAGGACAACATCAGAATATCAACATGAGGATGCCCCTTAAGAAATAAAAAGAACTACACATAATAATAGCTACAATCATTACACACACACTCTCTCTCTTTCTCTCTCTCTCTCAAGAACATCTAGGAAAAATAAAACTATAATGCCTCCTAACTATCATAATCAAGATCTTCTTCCTCTTCATTATCATTATTATCTCTAGTCGATGGGTGCCAAATAAGAGTATCATAAGTGGGTGTTGAATGGAACTGCAGCTGATCACGATGCTCTACAGATGAACTACTCTTGAACATGCCAAATAATGCATTATTGAATCCAGAAGTATAATTATAGCTATTCTTCTAATGGTACATGAAATGGGCCACTCTCATCTTCATCTCATCATGCCACCCCTTGACATCATCACATAAGTCCAACACCCCATCCATCTAAATTCTAGAATCAGCCTCCTACTATCTAAAAGATTTAAGACTGTTCGGACTCCTACTACCATTATTGTTGTTGGGTTTATTAGATGATATGGGCTCACTAGGACCTCCCATAATATCCCCTCCTACTACCTACTTAAAACTCAAAAATTTTCTTTTGGAAAGAGCCGAGATAGGGAATAAGTTCTCCTCAAATTGGTCCCCCCTTACACCTATATTTACACATAAAGCATAGATAAGAAAAGGATGTCCCCATCCTACTGAAGTGGTAGCCCTAATGATATAAGTCAAAGAAGAGAAAATAAGTTTTCCTATATCTATGGAATAACCCATTTGAATGGCATAATTTAATATGGCACGATCCCGGATCACTTCACTAATATTCCTGCTAAGAAGAAGGCAAGCATAAATGAAATAATGCTAATCATTAGATGTTTGAGTAAGATATAATGTAGGGAAATTGATAAGTTTATTTTCTCTCTTCTTCTAGGCTGTCCCACTAATGGGTCTACATAAAACTCTCAAAATATCCTTAGGATCTATGGAGGTCTTAGAAAATGCAGTGCGCCACTCAAATTAAAAATCTTTAAGATTCTAGGGTTTGTTAATTACAACAAAATCATACGGAACTCACTAACCCCTAACATGAAATCTTTTCTAAATAACCTCTTTCCCATTGGCAAAAAAAAAAACCCCCCTAATAACATTAACAATGACAACATAGGGGTCTTCACACAAATGCACCCAACCCTTACTTACAATAGTCTCATGATAAGGATGCTAGGATTTTGGAATCACGAGTTAATTATTTTTAAATAAATGGAGCTTTATGGCATTGGAGGGCTCAGTGATGCAGCACTTCAAAACACAAAATGATAGGCAAGGTTAAACTAAAAAACACTACAATGGTTCAATCCATGTGGCGTACCACTATGGGAAATGAAACATCAACTTTTGACTGAGCAACCACTGTGTCTTTTAACATGTACAAGCACTGTGTGCTGACGGAGGTCCACTGTTGTACAACTAACTTAATAATGGTGATTTTAACCTAACATCGTGGTGCTATCAACAACAGATGGTTCTAACCAACTCTTAATAATGAAAACATTATGATTTATATGGTTCGTTGACATAAAAAATAAAATAACTATTGGAATAACTATTTTGATGTTGCAATGCTTGATGATGTAGTGTTTAGGCCCTCAATATGATATATAAATACTGAAATGTTCATGAGTACATAATTGCGATAGTTTAACCAAGTGATTTTCTTATCGTCATCGTGGTACTAGCTTTAAATACCATATCGCTCAATGAATGAATGTTGCGATGTTTACAATCCAAACACTAGTTCAGTTTTAGCACAATAATGTTTCCTACAAAAAATTATTTATGTCATCATTAGCCCAAAATTAGAGTATATATTAGTACATACTATGCTTTCTACATCATTAGCCCAAAACTATAGAATTAGCTAGATTTGGAGGAAATCACAACAAAACTCATCTTCATTATGTTCATTAAAAGAAAAGATGCAAGTGAAGTAATAAGAAATAATCTAGAAGGATCAAATGATCTTCTCTAAACTCCTTCCATTAATCATAGAGTTGCTTATACAAATGGGCTATGTTCTCCACTATGAAAGTATCTTGCACTTTTCTAGCCTCCTTTAGACTTTACTCTAAGGGTGTACTAAAGAAACATACTAAAAATTATAAGAATTCACTCAAGTGATAGAACTCCCAAAATAACAGAACTAAAAAACTATTTATGGTAAGTACAGGGTAAAGTTCAAGCGTTGTGGCGCTCAATAAGGTGGTATCACTAGTGGTGAAAAAATGAACTAGCACCTACCTACTATAAAGTCTGCTTTGCTAGATATTGGCTGATGTGGCATGGTTTATAATTGAAATGGCATGTCTTTTTTACCGAATCAGCATATCTTTTGTCAAATCAACATGGCTTCATATGTTGATAACTACTCTGTCACAACGCTCCAAAAGTTTGAGGC